TTGCATCAATATTCTGTGGAATGGCAATGTTGGTGGGACGTCGATTGGCATTATCGCCTTGCAGGTAAGGAGGAACGTAGTTCTCAACGCGGAACTCAGTAACGTACGGGTCTTGAGCGTCCGGTTGCAGCATCGGCATCTGAACGGGATTAGATCCAGCAACCATTACTGTTCCGTCGAGAAGAAGCAAGGCTACGGAATGGTAAAGACGAGGAATAGTCGAGCTGGCAAGTGTCGCGAATCTTTGACCAAGTGGTTTGGCTGGGTCGTACAAAAGAGCCTCCAAAGTCGGACTCGCCATCAATCCGAAGCCCTGGGCTCCTCTGTTCCCTCCATTCATCCAGATAACGGTCCCGTCTGGAAGAAGTGTTCCCTCAACCATTCCACGTCCCTCTGGCATTGAGTCCATCTCCCAGTTAGGAGTGGCACTGAGAGGTTGGATGCGACCGCAGCTAGGATCTGTAGGGCTAGTGATGTCTTGGTAGGCACCTCCACCACAAATGATAATATCGGGTGCCCAGTTGTTCTTGCTGGAAAGTGGCAGCAGAACACTTCCGCCGGTATTAGGATAGGTACGATAGTCACCTGGCAAATCTGGAAGCTCCTTCACGATGGTGTTGGAACCAACGTTGAAGATCTGAGAAGATTTGGACACGAATACGAAGAGGCTGCCGTCATTAAGGAGGTGGACGAACGGGTACATGTAGTAAGGCTGGTTCTTTTGTAGGATGTCCATGGGAATATTTTTTCCTTGAGTGGCGGCACCTGGGCTGAGGATTTCGTAGGTCGGATTGTTGTTAGTTAATACGGTAGGGTCGAGGCCGTTCAGACTTCCTGATGCGACGAAAATGGTGCCATCGGGCATAGTCTGCGCGGTTGCATACCAACGGGCACTGGCAAGCTTGTTTCCAGGTTCGCTCCAGCTCTGGCCATTAAGACTGGCGTCTGTCGGAGATCGCTGGAGGTATCGAATTGCAGTGAAGCCATCACCAATGTTCGGGTCAAGCCACGTCAAGGGAGCGTTTCCACCAACTGAGATGACACGGCCATCAGCCAGGAAAGTTCCTCCCGAGCAGAAGGCATTTGTCAAGTAGGCAAGTGGCACTGCGTTATTCGACTCTGGGTCATACTCAGAGGACATAGCGTAATATCCATCTGGAGTACGCAATTGAGTATAGTTCTCAAGTTTGTCAAGGAAAAACACGCGACCGTTTGGCATTAGACCGGCGTGCATGGCAGGAACTCCAGACTGGCCCACAATGTCAAAAGAGCCCCCGTTTGGCGCAAGTGGCGCAGGACTTGGACCTGGAGCTAGGATGGCTGGAGCACTAAGACAGTTGCCTGATTGACATCCAGCACCGCAGTGAGCACTCGTGCTTCCACTTTTTAAATTAGTATTGAGCGTGTTGCTGAAAACTAAACCACTTACCAAAAGCCGTACATAGAGCAGCAGTTGCCGTTCGCCCAGTTGCCACAGACGGTGTTGCCATTCGAAACTCCACAAGTCCCATCAGTTGTCACGGAGGCTGTGGCAGTAGTCCCGGGAGCCATAGTAGTCGTGACTGGACCAATAACAGGCTCTTGGCTCGTCGTCGGTGGAGAATTTCCTCCGTTACCTGCTTGACCATCAGTACATCCGTTCTGACAACCATTTGCGACGAGACAGTGTGCAGGAGTGGATCCGCAGAATCTGCAAAAATCCATTGGTCAGCAAGCAAGTTCAGCACGTATCAATAGCATTTTCAAGAACGTGCCCATATTCTGAACAGCAACCACCGTATGGACCGTTCTCCTCGCAAGTCGCTCCTCCAAAATCTTTCCCACATCTGCCATCCGATCGAGGAATTGTTCCAGTAGGCGCCGGAGAGGATGTAGGAGCCGCACCAGAACAACCATTCTGGCACCCATTCGTTCTAAGGCAGTGTTCTGGTGTCGATCCACAAAATCTTGAAGGGATATATGGTCAGATATATGGATAAGATATATTTTGTAATGGCAGAACAAACTCGAGAAAGAAAAAGCACAACCTACCCATATGAAGAACAGCAACCTCCGTAAGAACCTGCAGGATCACATGTTGCGCCACCAAAGTCCTGGCCGCATCTACCATCCAGACGAGGAGCTGTGCTGGAATTTGCTGGAGGGGTACTACCTGTGCATCCAGAAATACAGCCAGCACCACAATGCCTACTCGGGGGTTAGTTTGCAGTCAAACAAGAGGTCTGCCAAACTTACTCTGGAGTGTCACCACACCAGCCGTATTGCTGCGCAGGGGTCAGCATTATCCACCATCCAATCCACTATTTCACCTACCGAGCAACATCTACCAGTATACGCTGTACTGTTAGGATCGCAGATTGTATTGCCATGGGAGGGGCCACAACTTCCATCAGTGGAATAGACTGGAGCGTCTCTCACATCGATCTCGGGCGTTGCTGATCGGAAGGACATTGGGTATCTGATCCTCTCGAGAGGTACACAGCTGCGAGAGAGTCAGTATTCGCACGTTAAGAGAATCAACACAAGACTCACTCTCCAATGTCGGTGCACATCTGCCCACGAAGACAGCCATGGTATATTTGCGGGCTGGTGAGGTTACATTGCAGTGGAACGTGGTTGAAGATGATGTTAGCGGAAGTCAAGGCCGCAAAGCCAAGTAGGAGAGTTGAGGTCTTCATGGTTGGTAATTACTGAAAGAGAGTTAGTAGATATTGCGACTAGAGAATTGCGGTATGGAATGTGAGCGATGCTATACTTCAGTGAAGCTTGGATCGCTGCGCAAGTCCGTTTGCTTTCCCGGATATTGCTCATACGGCAATACAACGCGTCTTGAGCAATACCACATCGAGTTTGCAATCACCTGAGAGGGTACGTGAAGACATATGGATGCGTACAAGAAGCCGAGAGAACTCACGGTGGAGGAATTAGGTAGGTGTGCGTTGCAAACAGTACTTTACTGATCGACTTGTGTTGATGAATTGATGCCTGAAAGGCTAACGAACGTGGGCAAAGAATGGACCACAAGGCCCAATATTAGGAGAAATGAATGAGACCTTGTGAATGATGAAGTGAAAAGGATGGCGGAGTGAGTGTTGTTATGAAGAAGAGAAGTTAAAGCATCGCGAGCGTCCATTTAAGTCTTCGTCGCATTGGAGCCAAAAGCGGAAAGTACGATCAAAGCAGAAAGGAAGGCACGACGCAACGACTTCTGTTCGTGCCGTACTAATTGACACATTTCACGAGAGCCTCATCTTCCATTTCAAGAACAGTTTTCATGGTCAATCTCGTTCTAGAAGAAGGCCGTCTCTACAGGCGCCCGTAATGCAGCACCGGGGAGTTTTAGGATGCTACCACGTCAGGTACACAGGCTCTGCGGACAAAAGGCGCAAGCATTGCTGCTTTTAGGGCATGATTGATAAAACTATACCCTTCTAATATGGTAATGATGCATTATCGAGAACTTGATAAATATAGTTAGATAGGTGGTGGGTTGAAAAGAGCCTTAACTCCCTGGCATTGCTCAGCGAGATGGCCATATATCTTGACCGAGGCAAGCCCTCAGTAGGTTGACTAATAATTGACGAGGCGCACGAGATGGCAGAGCCAACCTACAGAGACTTGTCCTCAGACATTGTGTGAGGTAGGGGATCTTCATTGAGAATATATCCTAAGCCAACCGAGAGGTAATAGGGCACGAAATTGATTTATATTCGGTCATTGAGGAGGCTAAGGGAATCAACTTCTTCTCAATGCTTGCTTTCCGCGGGTAGCAGGCCAGACTTTGAGTGATTCGATCGATTTCGAAGCTTGAATCCTTTTCTCGAGACAGGATGCATTCAGTTCGGTGTTTCGACATGAACTCGAAGATAGAGACCAGGTATGTGGAATATTACAGTCGTTGTCCATTGCAAGGATCTTCGAGTCTGGTTCTGCATTTTATGTTGGTTTTGTGCAAGGCGAGGTACTGCCACACACTTCACCAATTGAGATCCTTCTTCGACACGCCCATAATCTTACCCACCGAAGTAACCGGTTCATTGGCAATCTCCTTCGTTGGAGCAGAATCCTTTCTACCAACAATATCCTTTGCATCCAGCCCATCCAGGTCATGCTCTCCATCCATGATCCCTAGATCCAGTCCCCAAGTCTTGACCTCCGCATCCACAACAGCTTCCCACTTCGCCACCAGAGGATGCGCCGCCGCAACATCTTCAAACACAACATCTTTTTCCTCGCCTTCACCCGGAACCTCAAATATCCAAATCCCGTCTTCACCCCACCACTCTCTCCCAAACACATTCTGCGTCGCTAACTCCTTCTGTGCTTCCTTGAACAATGCTTCTAACCTCTTCTTATGCCCACCCCATTCCTCTCCTTCGCCAACCTTAACAGCTGCACATATACCCTCCAACAGTCCCAAGATCTTTCCTATCCTCAATCCTAGAACAGCGCCAAGTCCATACCCCTCATCAAAACCAACTTGTATGCTCTCGGCTTTGCCTTTCGTGACCCCATCTCTGTATCCCTCCGTCTCATGTTTTTCTTTTAGCCTCGGCACATCCGAGTATTCGAGATTGCCGTTCGCTTGCCGCTCATGGTTCGTATGGGGGTCGAAGGGGGTTGGGGAAGGAGGGGCAGATCCGAAAACATCGTCGAAATCGTCATTTGTATATTGTGATTCATGGGAGTGCAGTTCATCCGCAATTAAATCATCACCTTCCACGGGCCCGTATTGTGGAGGCATTGGAAAAGCATCGTCATCTCTGAGCATATTTGTTGTAGTATCATAGAAAGCCTCGATGCTAATAAAATTACCCCGCTACTGAAATTTTTGATCTTGATCTTATCTTATCGTGACCCCAGGAGATCTCCACCAATTAAAGTGGGGCATATCCGAAGCATTGCCTTGGTAGTCACGAGAGGCTCCTTCCCTTCAGACGAACAAAGAATTACTGTATAAATTCAAATAAGCAATTCAACGATAAACGACAGGTTCTCTAGCGACGCTGGAGTAGAGGTTTAACTTGTTCCCTTCCCATTTTCTAATAGTTAGGGAGAGACAGGGGTTCGACTCCCCTGCGTCGCACTCTCACGTGAGCATGTTCTTTTTAGATCCCCTGTTCCTGTAGATTTTTTGAGACTTTTATTTATTATTTCTCTCGTAATCTCTCTTATTTTGTAACTTTTGCTCTTTCACCTAGCTCGAAAGCTCGGCTCTGCAAAGGGCAGGCAAGGTAAACCCATATTGGGCCAAGTGATAAAAGTGTTACTTGTCAGACGGCTATGCTCGTACGCTGTCGCTCGCTTTCAGTTTCAGGCTCTAGAGGAGTAGGCATGTAATAAATAGTATGGAAAGTCTAAAGGTCTTTCTCCCTTCTAGCAATGTTCATTTATAGTTAACAAGATCACGCTCTCATCCCCTCATCAATGTATCTATCAGCTATGTCTTTGAAGGTGAATTAATATAATGTTCTTCCTGTCAGAAGTCTCATATATCGGCACTGCAGCTGCAAGGCATCGTCGATTTTTTTTTTTTTTTTTTTTTTTTTTTTTTAGAGATATGGGCGAGCAATGCATTCATATTTCCACCTCTCTGTGAAGAAGAAACTCAATGCTTTGAACACTTATTCGAAATTCGAGCTCAGTGATGGCAACAATATCCAAAGAAGTGCAATTGAACAGAAAGAGATAATGATGGGGGATATAAGTGGAGTGGAAGTGGATATACCTTTTATTCGAAATGAATCGTGTGCTTGTATGATGATGGATATGGTGGCAGACCAGGCATCTTATGGAAGGGATGGAAATCAGAAGTACAAATTTTAGAGGATGTATGTGACAGTTTAGGTGTCGTGTTCATCGTGACGTTGAATTCATTTCATCTATTTCCACTATCCTTCTCGACCAAAGCTCACCAAGGTAGCTGCAGAGGCGTAGGAAGATTCTCCCCCATCGTCACATTCGCGGTCCCAATATCCCCTAGCGAAAATTAGTACATCATCTTCAACCCCGCATATACAAAGAAACTCACTCGGTCCCCTCGGCGCCCAATACTGTCCGCTTTTACTCATATCCAGTCCCTCCGCCCACTCAATCAAACTCTTCGCCGCGACATCCGGCGTAACCGCTCCGCCATCATCCCAATACTTATCAAAGCCGACTCCCTTCGTCATATCCGTCCTCATAAACCCAGGATGTACGATACTAATAATCACCCCCGCATCTTTCAGGTCTAAACTCAACAGCTTGCCAACCATGTTCAAAGCTGCTTTCGAGGCGTGGTGTGCATAGTTGCCTCCGCCTTCTTTCTCGTGTCGGAGGCCGATGCTACCGGATTCAGAAGAGACGAGGATGATTTTCGAGCCTTTTGTGATATGTTTGGAGCGGAAGAGAGAGTGGACTATGAAGGGTGGCGAGATAGCAGATGTGGCTATTCCTCAATCAGTAGCTGCGCCGTGGTGAATTGACGGAGGGAGGACGTACTATAGGTCTTAACTTCCTCCTCCCATTTCGGGCCATTGACCCAGTCTTCCGTAGCAAAATATCCAGCTGTGATAATCTGCCAAATCCCATCAGCTTTTTATCTCCAATCCCACGTCTGCCTGCAGAGTAGAAGCACGAACCACGACATCGAAACTCTTCTTCCCGCCCTCCACCATGCCCCCGCCACCACCAACCATGCCCAACTGGTTGACAAGTCTTCTCCCAACCCCTTCCTCACTAACATCGATATTCGGCACCCACACAATCTTCTCATCTAATCCCTTTGGCGCCGTCGCACTCCTCGTCGTCCCAAATACAGTTGTGTCTTTCTGGGATGCATAGGCGTTGGCGAGCGAGGCGCCCAGCCCGCGAGTCGCACCTACGATCAGAATATTCGGCATATTGGGTTCTCTCTCCTGTTTGAATTAGAAGGAAAACTGGGAGATGGGAAGAAGAGATAATATAGAATTGAAGGAAGTAAAATAATTCTCGTAGGGAATAGAAAACAAGAAAGAGGTGGAGGTTATAGCAATGACGTTTCGCAATAGAGGGGCGGCCGATAAGATAAGGTTTACAGGGAATCTAGTGGGGTTCTACGACTCTCGAGTTTCAGGGGTGGAATGGCGTGACGCGACGCCTGACAGGGCCTGTAGGGATTATCGTTTTAGGCTGCATTGTGCTGTTTTTAGCGTTATTGGGGCTGAGATTTCAGTGGGTCGGCCTGGAGGCTTGAGAAACGGAGAGCCGAGCGACTACTCGTGGATCTTTACTAGAATCTTTTTATAGGAGATGGTTCTTTTTGTAGAGTGTTTTTTGAACCGAAAATAGCCTGCAACCTTTAATGGAGAACAGAACAAGTACACGTTTAACGAACACAGCTACCTAGTGTTCGATATTGCAAGTAGTCAGCGACATGCAGGACTAAAACTCATCAATCAGAAGATCTGTAGATATGGAGATTGATGCCGACTATTATTATTGGACACGGGGTAAGCACTGTAGGATTAAAGCTGTGATCCCTAACAATTCTTGCTCTGCTGTCTAACAGTCGTGCATAGGTAATCATTAAGTGCAATCAAAGGGTTGCAGGACCTTTCCAAATCGATGACTTAGAAAAAGCGATCAAGTCACATGATACGGATTAAGAAAGCTACCTACCTACCTAGGTAGGTAGGTAGGTGAGTACCTATTTCGTTCTTAAACCAATGTAGGAATGAGCACAAAAGCCCTTAAGGCAAGGATAAAAATGAAAATACTCGAGGAGTGGAACCGAGTCTGATACTTTTCTCCCACCATGGATCACTTATTACCTACCTTTAACCCACTCGCTTTAGTTCACCCTATTCCTATGGCACCAATGAAATGATTTTGTTTAACGTTCTAAATTGAAATAGATTCTACCTATGGTAGGATTGAAGTGTAACATCCTACTTCGTCCCACTCGTTTCTCAGTAGTACGTCAGCTTTGTTGTATATCTTGATTGCTAATGTGCGGCTTGCTTCCTGAAAATGTGACTTTTTTTGAGCCTCATAGCATATTCCTTTCAGTCTCAGCAGGGACCTGATATTAATTTGAGGTTGCATTACCCACCGGCTCCGTATCTTAATGTTGAGTGCTTGAATGCAGATTGAATATATGAACATCTGAGACATCTCCCATAACTTCAAAATGGGTATATAACCTTAGGAGATACAAGGCAGGGATGAAATGGAAAGCACAACTTACACTAATCGCTGAATATGAATTATATAGTACGTGAAAGGGTTCAAAGAAAGGTATATTTTAGCACGAATGGTTTCTTTTTCTTTAAGTCATGAGATACAAGCGACGCATTGAGCTGGTTATGAGAAGCTGTCGGAATACTTTCTAGTCGCGGTACCATTTGTCTCAAGCAATCATTTGTCGAAGAATATCATGTTCTAGCAACTTGAAATGGGAAGATGAAGCAAGATGAAACTCGGGCAGGGGAAATTTCCAAATCCTTACATAAGCTACACTAAGACGAATTGAGAAGTCGCTCAGTCCGGGGATTCAAAGACATCTTTCCGAATTCTCGAGACCATGCAGAAACAATGTATTTTCGAGGATCCTTTCTCAAGGACTGGCAGTCAAATTTGCTGGTCCGCTACTGCGGCTTGGGGCTGCTACGGTGTCATTGGTCATCTTGCAGATCCCCTCACTCCATGCCGAGGCATCGTTCGCGTCAACGCGCCAGCTAATGCAAACTCTCAATACTCTCACTTCAACTTTCTTTCCCAGCATGACCATTTCAGAAAATCAACAACATTGTAACTCTTAATCAGAATGTCAACCCCTGTTGCGAGCCCGAAACAAACTCCCTCCTTGGGCGAAACTACATATCCTCCCTTCGGTTGTCAGACTCCTTATGCTGAACCCCTGTGGTATTCGAGAAATGTATCCCCACATTACAACGAGTCTCATCGGAAGCTCCGAGCAGCAGTTCGGCAATATGTCGATGAAGAAATACTTCCGTATGCATTCGAATGGGAGTCAGCAGGAGAGGTCCCTGAGAAGGCATGTGACATTCCCAGATGTCAGAATCGTGCTGACAAAATCGAAGGCATTCAAACGTCACGTTGAATTAGGCTATGTTGGACTCGTCACTGGACTTTCAAATATCCGTATCCCAGGCGATATACCGTTCAAGGAATGGGATTCGTGGCACACGTTAATCGTGAATGATGAGTTATCACGCGTAGTACGTCCACAGTCACCAAGGACTTCCTAGAGACAATAAGTTGACACGAACAGGGCTATACTGGTGTTCTATGGGGTCTTGGTGGAGGAAACAATATCGGTGTCCCTCCTATCGTCAACTTTGGTACTCAAGCTCAGAAAGACAAGTTTCTCCCAGGTGTAGCGAACGGAAGCATTAGGCTCTGCTTAGGAATCACAGAACCTGATGGTAGCTATGGGCTTCCCCCCCTCTGAATGATCTCTTGCTGATGAGCGATAGCCGGATCTGACGTCGCCAACATTAAGACTACAGCTGTAAGGCAGGGAAACCACTACCTGGTCAATGGTTCAAAGAAATGGATCACAAATGCTATATGCGCCGATTACGTGTCAGCAGCTGTGCGTACAGGAGGTCCAGGGGCAGCTGGGATTTCTCTCCTGATTATTCCACTGAAAATGAAAGGCGTCACCACACGGCAAATGCATAATTCTGGCGTTGGTGCTTCTGGAAGTACCTTTATTACCTTCGACGATGTGCTCGTGCCAGTGGAGAATCTTCTCCACAAGGAGAATCGTGGCTTTGAGGTCATCATGTCAAACTTCAACGCTGAACGAAAGGGAATCGCTACTCAAGCTATTCGACTTAGTAGAGTCTGCGCAGAAGATGCATGGAAACATGCATGTGTTCGAGAAACGTTTGGAAAGAAGCTAATCGAGAACCAAATCATCAGAGCAAAATTTGTAAAAATGGGAAGAATGATCGAGCCAGCACAGGCTTTTCTCGAACAGTTAACTTGGCTTATTGAACTAAATCGAAAGGATGGAAGGAACGGTGCAGATGCTGTCAGAATAGGCGGTATGACTGCGATGTTGAAAGTCGTTAGCACGAGGTGTCTCGAAAAATG